GTAACTCGTAGTAGAGCATCTGCTTGGCATGCGGAAAGTGCCAGGCTCAATCCCTAGCATCACCAGTTAAAAAGACCAGGTAGTATGTGATACGATCCTCTGCTTGGTATGGAGAAGGTCCCAGGTTCAATTCCTGGCATCTCCAGTAAGAAGGACCATGTAGTACATGATACTATCCTCTGCTTGGCATGCAGAAGGTCCCAGGTTCAATCCCTGGCCTCTCCAGTAAGAAGGACCAGGCAGCGGGTGATGTGAATGACCTCTGCCGGAGACCCTGGAGAGCAGCTGCCAGTCTGAGTAGACAATACTGACCTCGGTGGCCCGAGGGTCTGATTCAATATATAAGGCAGCTTCATGTGTTCGTGTATTCAGTGGAGAGCTAAGTCCCCCCCCCCCACCATCCCTTTCTCGCCTTGAAACAGCCTTAGGGTGTCTCTTCATGTGATGACTTATGGGGCTGAATTAAGCACGTAGTTATGAGCTCTGGTGGTTGGGGGGGGGAGCGTCCCTCGAATAGCGATGCTCTTAACAGGTTTTTGGAGCCCTGATGCTTTTTGGAGCCACTGCCTCCTTCTTTACTTCTCCCTTTCAGGCTGATCATGTTTCCGTGCTCACAATGGGAAAGGCCTCCCTCCGAGCTGTTTTGACACCAGAGCTTAGCGCCAATACCTTGGAAGCTAATGTTATTTACCCATAATACAAATTAACACCACAGTCACGCAGCGTCATGATTCATCTAAAATTAAAAGACATTCGGACTGAGTCAGAAAGTTATTCTTAGATTCCCCTGGGCAGCGGCCATGGAGCCTGGAAAGGAACGCAAGGGGGCCCCCTACTGGCCACAGCGGGAGTTTGTTACGTTCTCGATCCGGGCAAATTCCTAGAACCTAGATTAACAAACGATACCTGGGAAGAAAGCCATTACCGTGTACCCATAAATATCGTGCTGCAGCCAAAAGATTAGTCCTGCGTGCTGTTCACATTTTTCTTTTTCTGTCTTAAACCAGAGAGAGGCTCTGGGGGGATTATAGTGTGAGAGTGATTCACACAAAAGTTTATACCCAGAATAAAACTTCATTGGTCCAAAAGGTACCACTAGACTCAATCCTTGTTCTGTTGCTTCAGACCAACATGGCTACCCACTTGAATAGTTCTCACATCTGTTTGTTAACTCTGGTATTCCTATGGTAATTTGCTGCCATTCACAGGTCTTAGCTGCTTTAAGCTAAACATGAGCCTGCAGTGCCATGTGACTGCGAAGAAGGCTAATGCTATCTTAGGATGCATTAACAGAAGCAGAGGTCGATTCGGGAAGGATCGCGGGGGATCGCAGTTCCCCCGGGTGAGGTGCGGGGGGGCACACGACGAAGCCCCGCCCCCTGCTTCCGACCGCCCCGCTTCTGGCCCTCATTCAGCCAGGAGGAGGCAGAAGAAGAGGGAGGGTAAGTTGCTTCCTCCCCGCCTCTCCCCACCCCTGCCTGCCTGGGGCCAGGGAGGGCCTTGGCGGGGCTTCCTCGCAATCCCACCGGCCTTGCAGGTCCACCGCCGGGCCCCTGATGTCAGGTGGTGTGGCATATGCTAATGAGTTATGCTAATGAGTTCCCCTAGCTCTTTTTCTACGAAACGACCCCTGAACAGAAGCATTGTGTCCAGATCATGGGAGGTGGTAGTCAATGCTCCCTCTAAGCTGTGGAGTCTTGTGAGCAAAAATTCTACTTTGTGAGCTACTGCCATTAAAGTTGTGAGTGAGCAATTTGGCTCCTGCATAAACTAGTTTGCTCTGGAGCCATCCTTCCTGAGCTAAAACAGAAATGTGTGAGTCAGAGGCTAAAAAACTGTGAGCTAGCTCACACTAACTCAGCTTAGAGGGAACACTGGTGGTAGTTTTGCTCTATTCTGCTCTATTCTGCTATGGTCAGGCCTCACCTGGAGTCCTGTGTCCAGTTTGGGGCACCACATTTTAGGAAGGATGTTGACAAGCTCGAGCGTGTCCAGAAGAGGGCAACCAGGATGGTGAGAGGGCTGGAATCCAAGTCTTAGGAGGAAAGGCTGAAAGAGTCGGGTCTGTTTAGCCTGGGAAAGAGAAGGCTTAGAGGGGACATGATTGCAGTCTTCCAATATCTGAAGGGCTGTCATGTAGAAGATGGAGCAGATCTATTCTCTCTCGCTCCGGATTGCAAGACTAGATCTAATGGGTGGAAATGACAAGGCTAAATATCAGGAGAAACTTCCCAACTGTAAGAGTGGTTGAGCAGTGGAACAGACTGCCTTGGGAGGTGGTGGATGCTCCTTCATTGGACGTTTTCAAGCGGAGGCTGGGCGACCATCTTTTGGGTATGTTGTAGGGCTTTCTTTCGGCTATGCTCCTGCAGAGTGCAGGGGGTTGGACTAGATGACCTACAAGATCCCTTCCAACTCTAACGTTCTATGATTCTATGATTCTAATCCAATCTCAGCTGTACTTATTGCCCAGTTACTAAATGCATTTTGACTGTAACTAGCCCCTCCTGGCAACTAACACCCCCCCACATATGTAAGGCTTGAGGAAGTCTGTTTCAATGTATCTGAAAAAGAGTGCACACACACGAAAGCTGATACCCAGAATTAAACGTTGTTGGTCTTCAAGGTGCCACTGGACTCAAACTTTGTCCCAGTATCAGAGTGAGTATTTTTGCAAAGCGCTCTCCCTGTGAGTTTTCTCTTAAGGATGGCAGTTCACACGGACCCTCACACATACAATTTGCTTCCAGAAAAAAAAGCTGGGATGCTTGCTTTAATTACTCCGATGTCAAATTATGTCCAGGTCACATGGGGTTCTGAACACTTCTTGTGAAAATGTCACCCCCCAGAGAGTGATTAACACGTGGAATTCATGGCCACAGGAGGTGGTGGCAGCTACAAGCATAGAGGGCTTCAAGAGGGAACTGGATAAACATATGGAAAAGAGGTCCATCAGTGGCTATTAGCCACAAGGTACAAATAGGAACTCTCGGTCTGGGGCAAGTGATGCTCTGTATTCTTGGTGTTTGGGGGGGGGGAACGGGACAGTGGGAGGGCTTCTAGTGTCCCGGCCCCACTGTTGGACCTCATGATGGCCCCTGGTATTTCTGGCCACTGTGTGACAGAGTGTTGGACTGGATGGGCTACTGGCCTGATCCAACCTTGGCTTCTCTGATGTTCTTATAGGAACTCTCAGTCTGGGGCAAGTGATGCTCTGTATTCCTAGTGCTGGGGGGGGGCAACAGTGGGAGGAGGGCTTCTAGTGTCCTGGCCCCACTGGTGGACCTCCTGATGGCACCTGGTATTTTTGGCCACTGTGTGACAGAGTGTTGGATGGATGGGCCATTGGCCCGATCCAACATTGGCTTCTCTTATGTTCTTATGTGTATGGGGAGAGCAGAGTTTGGGGAGGATTTGATGTCACTTCTTGGTAACACTCTAGGGATTTCCCCTGATCTCTGTGGTCAATACCATAGAGACTAGGTTAAAATCCTAGAGTGTCACCATTGAGGCGATTTCTTTTCTTCCACTCAATTTGTTGAGGCCGAGAGTGGGGTGGGTGGGGCAGGGAATTTTCTGCCAACTGGGCAGCCTAAGCTGAGGACTTTAGGCCTTAAATTGATGTTGGTGTGATGGCTTTATGCCTCTTATGGGAAAACCTGGAAGTTACATCACTTAGTTTGAGGGATTGCTGGAAATTCTATGGTTTTACCGTAGAGTTCCCAGCAATTCCTAGAGTGGAGTGACGTCGCTTCCAGGTTTCCCTCAGGAGTGACTCTATCCACCAACAGCACCCCCATCTCCCCCTCCCGGCTCCCGCCAGTTGCTAGCTATTGGCTGTTGCCTGGCAACCCTAGCCAGGATACCTGAATCCCTGTTTTGGCCTTCATTACCATGCACAGCACCTTCCTTACTTTACATTACCGATAAGAAATGGGGAGGCGGGATGGTGCCTTACTGAAGAGAAAACCTGTCCGTGGCTGTTGATGATGTCCTCACGGTGCCACAATCTGGTGACTTCAAGGTTGAGCTCCAGATCCAGTTCAGCCTGGGTCCTGACGCTCTAAAGCTCCAGCCTAGACTAGATCTCCCAAGAAGGGGCTCCTCTAATCAGGGTTTGCAGTCTTATCTTGGCCCTGTTCACCATCCTCTCTCATTTCAATGGACATCTCTCCCAGCAGAAGAAATCGTTTGTGGGTGTGGATTAATGTGTGACCTGGGCGAGGGAGACCTGGGGATCCACCTTCTCGCTCAGCCATGAAACTCACTTGGGTGTCCTTGGAATACCGAAACCTTTTTGTTCAGGGCTCTCCCAAGGGGGGAAATTGGTGGAAATCGGAGCAACCTTATATATCAATATCGGCACCTTTTATGTACAAAAAGAGAGCCAGTTTGGAGTAGCGGTTAGGAGCGCAGACTCTAATCTGGAAAGACCGGGTTTGATTCCCCACTCCTCCACATGCAGCTGCTGGTGTGACCTTGTGTCAGTCATAAGTTCTCTCAGAGCTGTTCTCTCGTTCTCAAAAGAGCTCTCTCAGCCCCACCTACCTCACAGGGTGTCCGTTGTGGGAAGGGGAAGAGAAAGGGATCGTAAACTGCTCTGAGACTTCTTTGGGTAGTGAAGGGCGGGGTATAAATCCAATCTCTTCTTCTTGTTCTACAAAAAGAGCACCAAATTAGACCATTGGTCTCTCAAAGTCAGTCCTGCCTACTCAGACCGGGGTCTCAGGCAGAGATCTTTCATATCATCTTCCACCTTTTAGCTGGAGATGCCAGGGATTGAACCTGGGACCTTCTGCATCCCAAACCGATGACCTACCGCTGAGCGTCAGCCCCTTTCCTTTAATCCCTGTGCTAAAGACCATAGACACTAGGGTAAAACCCTAGAATGTCACTATGGAGCCGAGTCCTTCCTATCGAACGTGAGTCTAGATAGACCATGATCTTGTCCAGCGAAGACATTCTAATGTGCTTTAAGTATGTTTGCCTCTTCCTTTCAGGTGCCTATTTCCCTTCTCTGAAGCCCTCAGAGATCGTGTTCAAGATCATCTTCTGGCTGGGCTATTTCAACAGCTGTGTGAATCCCATCATCTACCCGTGCTCGAGCAAAGAGTTCAAGAGAGCTTTCATCCGGCTCCTGAAATGCCAGTGCCGCCGGAAGAGACGGCCTATCTGGCGGGTGTACGGCAACCACTGGCGAGGAGCCTCCATTAACGGGGCCGGACAAGATTCTGACGGGGAATCGAGATCCAGGATGTCCACCATCAACGGTTCCTTCATATTGAACTCCGGCAGCCTGGAGCGCTCCAGTAAGAGGAGGACTCTGAACTTCAAGAGGTGGAGGATGTTCTCCCCTTTCCAGAAGCCTACGACACAACTGAAAGAAACAATGAACAGCCTCTCGAACAAGATACGGGGAGGCTCCCTCAAAGGGAGCACGACGGCCTCGTACAGAACGGAGGTGGAGTCCGTCTCCATAGGGATCCCCAACGAGTTCATGGAGTCTATTGACTATCCAATGTACGACGAACTAATGGACTCGGAGTCCCGCGGCCTCAGCGAAACGGATATTTGATGCCTCCGAGGATAAGCATTTGGGGTTCCGTTTTGCTCGGCCTCTGCGCGGTCACCTGACAAAGTTGGATGTACAATCTGGAGCGGAAGACTGAAGGAGGCGACGGGATTGTCTAAACACAGCATGGTGAATGTGGACGGGCACTCAGTGGAGAGGGAATGCTACTAGCCACATGGACAATCGACCCATAAAAACTTTAACACCGGGCAGAGAATGTGATTGGTATGGAGGCAGTGAGAAATCTCTGTTTCTCCCGGTAGATAGGGATGATACCGTAATATGAGAGCCTGCGTTCTTCATAATATGTGCTGCCAACACTTCACACATGTTACCATGACATCCCCAATGATATGCTGAGGTTCAGGAATAAATTATGCAAATGAATAAGGATTTTGCTAAAACTTGCCCGACAGGTACGTTTTATTCTGTTCATGGCTGAAGGCTGCATTTGGGGGCTATGCAGGGGCAGAAGGAAAAGGAAGACATAGTTTTGTGGGTGTGGTTAGAGAGGAACAGGACGGGCAAGGCAGGAGCAGAGAGCCAATCAGAGCTCAGAAGATCCATCACACCCCTGATCAAGCTGCTAGGTGTGTGCAGGTCAACGAGAAAAAGAGCTCGACCCAAAGGGTCTCTTTTGCCGCATTGCAGGGAAACAACCAGGAAAGAGGCCGTCTCTCTCTTTTTTGACCAGTTCCCACTTTCAAACATAGGCTGCGGGCACACGGGCAGGAAAATGCGGGAGGGAAGTGTGGCTGTTTGCCCCGGGGCTAAAAACCGTGTGGTTGCGCGAGCAGACCTACCGTGGAGGTCCCGTTGAGGTCCCGTGGTAGGGGGGAAGTGCCGATCACTCCACAGTCCTGCGGCGCGGCAAAGAAGCGGGGCGCGGGGCAAACGGGGTTGGGGGGGTTTTAAACTCAAATGTGCACATGCTCCCTTGGGTGCTTGTGCGCATCCATGGAGACTTTGAAAAAAACCAACCTTTTTGCGAGGGGGCATAGGCGGGCGCTGGAACTACTACCGGAAATGCGATCAGACGCCCGCCCTTGCCCCACGGTTTCAGGAAACTAGTACCTCCAAGGTACTAGTTTTTTACCGCGCATCTTCCGCGGGAAGCCTCAGGTTCGCCACGGGAGCTCGACACTTCCCAGATGTGGCGGTGAGATCGCGCCTGGTAAATCCGCCTATCTTCCGTCTCTCTAGCGTGCCTAATGCTCCGTGTGACCGCAGCCATAGTTTTGCAAAAAAAACAATGAGGTCTAGGAACTTGGTTCTAACAAGCAAGGCCCGCGAGTCTTACGATTCTGTGGCCGAGAGCAGTTTTTCTAAAATCCTGAAGCGGCAGAAGACAGAAAGGCAGGTCCGATAGCGTAAGCATCAAGTGGAAGCTAGCCCCTTTTGAATGTTCAGAGGGGCACATGTCACCCCTGGGCAAGGGTGTAGACTTTCCAATTTCCCGGGGGGGGCTGGGGCTGGGCCAGAGGCATTGCTTTGCTAGGAGCAAGGGTGGCTCCCGGGGGAGGCTGAGTACCTTCCTGAAAATTTCGGCGGGGGCTGAAGCCCCGCCGCCCCCACGAAGATTACGCCTATGCCCCTGGGGGAGAAAGTGAACTGTAGCACACGTTCACATGAGGAGGCTGGTTTCACCTAGGGATGCCAGCTTCCAGGTGGGACCTGGGGACCCTCCAGACTAACAGCTCATCAGACTGCAGAGATCTGTTCCCCTGGAGAAAACGGATGCTTCGGAGGGTGGACTCTATTGGCCTTGTAACCCCACGGTCCTCCGCAGACTCCACCACAAAATCTCCAGGAGTTCCCCAACCTGGAGCTGGCAACCCTACCCTCCCCCTCACAACCCACCAGTGGCTAAGAGAGAACCTGGCCGCCTTCCCGTACGCCCCCCCCCCTCTACATTACCTTAATTTATACTTTCTAAGCTACTTTATATTTCCAGTTGGTTACAAGAATGTGGTAAACGTCACTTTGCTGTAGTGCCTGGCCTCTACGGGCGCTTGACTCTTGATACATAACTGCATATTGCATGCGTGTGGGATTGTCGCCACCCACCTGGAAATCCTATGCTGCCCCCCTCTTCTCAGACATATATTGGCTGGTTATGGATACTCAGTGGTGGTGGGGAGCATTCTGCATATGCTCAGAGACAAGTCCCCCTTTTTAATATGAATTTCCAGATCTGGGACCCCGGCATACCAGACAGGTTTCAGAATTCTTCTGTGGATGAAAATTAAACTCCGGGTTCAGTCTATATTTCAAAGGTCACATTTTTAGGTTCTAAAACGTCGATGTCTGGATAGCAGAGTCCCGATTCTCAGGCCTGCCTTTGACAGTTTCAGACAGTCACATTTCCGTCCAGTGATTCGGAACCAGTTGGTCTCCAATGTGTTGGGGCCGGAGACCGAGAAGCCACCTGCCTGCCTTGCACGGGGACAGCGAATTTTTAAAAAATCAAGAATCTGCTCTTTTTAATGTTTTCTCCAAACCTCCAGTCTCAGGTCAGAACTTGGAGTAATTCCATGATTCCAACCCCCAACCTTGTCCCCTGGCTCTTGTGTTCCAGATGAAGCTGCTACAGATGCAACTGAGGGTTATTGGAGGGCGGTGCTAGTTCAACGTTGTGGTTGCCATGTTGGGTTGCCAGCCTCCAGGTGGATCCTGGAGATCTCCCAGTATTGCTACTAATCTCCAGACTACAGAGACCAGTTCCCCTAGAGACAATGGCTGCTTTGGAGAGTAGAGTCTACTCTGTGGCATTGTACCCTCCTGAGGTCCTTCCCCTGCCTAAATCCTGCCTTCCCCAGGCTGGACCCCCAAAATCTCCAGGAATTTTCGGGCCTCTAACTGGCAACTCTAGATGGTGCCCACCAGTGGGTTTCCTGGCGCACGCCAAAGCACAGAGCCAGTCTTGATTTCCCTCCACTTTGGGCGATTCTGCATCTAGTTTGGTGTCGTGGTTAAGTGCGCGGACTCTAATCTGGGAGAACCGGGTTTGATTCCCCCACTCCTCCACTCGCGCCAGGCTGGATGACCTTGATCAAGCCGTAGTTCTGATAAGAGCTGTCCTTGAAAAAGAGCAGTTTCTGTCAAGAGCTCTCTCAGCCCCACCTCCATCACAGGGTGTCTGTGGTGGGGAGGGGAAGGGAAAGGAGTTTGTAAGCCTCTCTGAGACACCTTTGGGTAGTGAAGGGCGGGGTATAAATCCAATCTCTTCTTCTTCCTGAGATAGGGCAATCTAGAGAAAAGGTACCAGCATGTAGTGGAAAGCCATTTTCCTGCTTATGGCTGGAGACCTCCAGGAACTTGGGGCCTTGTCCACCAAGGCTCACCTGATCAGCAGGTGGAAACTGGGGCAAAAGAGGGGGGAGATTAAAAAGAAAAAAATAAGGCCTCATCTACTCACAGGAAGTTCTGGCCATCGAGTTCCTGGCAATTCCTAGAGCTACCTAGAAGAGCCAAGAGTAGCTCTAGGAATTGTCCGGAACTCAATGGTCAGAACGTCCTATAAGTACCGGCCTTATTTTTCTTTTTAATTTTTTCCCCTGGGACATTGTTTCCCCCCCCCAAAAAAAAGAAACCCTCCCACCATTTTCCAGGCACTGCCCGACAACTCTAAGGAGAAAGCCACAAGTGTAGCAAGAATTCCACTTTTGCTGCTGAAGAGATGAGCAACTTTCCCCGTTTTTCTTTCTCGGTCGACGGGAATGACACAAATGTCAGGCCGGCACACCCACTGACCTCCTCGTTTCCCTTGCTCCACCTCAGGGGCCAGCTTGAACAGAGGGAACGTGACAGGACTGGGAGCCAAAAAGACAGAAAGTTCGGAAAGAGAGGGCTGCGTGTCCTCTGTGCGTCCTCTCAGAAATCAAAGACGTGTGCCAAGAAAAGCAGGACTTTGAGAGCAGGGTTGCCAGCTTCCAGGTGGGGCCTGGAGATCTCCTGGAATTACCTCTGGTCTTTGGATACTCCTGATCTTTGTCCAGAGAAAACAGCTGCTGTGGAGGGTAGACTCTGGCATGATACCCAACTGCGCTCCCTCCCCAAACCCCACCTTCCCAAGCTCCACCTCCAAAAACCTCAGCCTCCTTTGACATCTATATACATGGAGCAAATTTGGTATGCTGTCTCCATCTTTGGCACAGTTTGCTAGTCCTGTTTGAAGGGACCTGAAGTCCTTCAAGGATTAAGAAGAAGAGAAGAGGAGGAGACTGGATTTATACCCCGCCCTTCACTATCCAAAGGTGTCTCAGAGCGGCTTCCAATCTCCTTTCCCTTCCCCTCCCCACAACAGACACCCTGTGAGGTAGAAGAAGAAGAGATTGGATTTATACCCCGCCCTTCACTACCCAAAGGAGTCTCAGAGCGGCTTACAAACTCCTTTCCCTTCCCCTCCCCACCACAGACACCCTGTGAGGTAGAAGAAGAAGAAGAAGAGACTGGATTAATACCCCGCCCTTCACTACCCAAAGGAGTCTCAGAGCGGCTTACAAACTCCTTTCCCTTCCCCTCCCCACAACAGACACCCTGTGAGGGAGGTGGGGCTGAGAGAGCTCTGACAGAAACGGCTCTTTTTCAAGGATAGCTCTTGAAAGAACTATGGCTTGCCCAAGGTCATCTAGCAGGTGCAAGCGGAAGAGTGGGGAATCAAACCTGGTTCTCCCAGATTAGAGTCTGCAGACTTAACCACTACACCAAAGTGGCTCTGAGTACTGGATCTCTGAGTACTGGATGAAGAAGAAGAGAAGACATTGGATTTGTACCCCACACTTCACTACCCAAAGGTGTCTCAGAGCGGCTGAC